TGGGGTGAATGATAGGTTGCTCAGTATTGAAATGTTTAAAATATTATTATTTACTCTGTAATTCCATCCTTTTACTATTAAGTTGAAGGAAATTATGAATTTTAAAAATACTAAAATGAGAATCAAATTTATTACTTATCGTTGGCTAGCCTGATAGTGGTGTCCGACGCCATCACGACGTTTAATGGATTTTGGGTCGTGACACTTTTTGTCCTTTTTCTTTAGACATAAATCCCTCAAGAAAACTGTCTAGGAGATCTATCGTTGGGAAAAGTTCCAATTTTCTGATTTTTTTTCCGCAATAAAAAACTACTACACTAAGCTAAGATAGCACAGAAAATCACTTAGACAATCTCCTCACCCTACACTTAAAATTGTGCAGTATCCTCAATGCACACTATAAATAACAAGAGGGTAAAAGAGACTCCATGATAGGCCAAAGGCCGAAGAATTAGCAGCTCACGGGATACTCAGAGTTCTCCCAAGTATGATCCCTTGTGCGGGTACCTCACACTTAGTTTCAACCATCTGCTCACTTTTGCATTCCTGTTAGCTTTGACTCCATGCTCCTACTCCTACAAAATAGAAAAATAATACTACAAAAAAAATAACACACTAAAATAAAAAATAAACAAAAGAAAAACAAAAAAAATAGAATTGGGTTGCCTCCCAACAAAGCGTTTGATTTAACGTCGCGGCACGACGCCATCATTTTTACCACTTTTTCCTCCACCTCGAGGATATGAATTGCGTCCCCAATTTTACATTAGTTTTTTTGTCACGTTCATGGGGGGGGGGGGGTGTAAAAACAAAGGAACCAAGCAATAGATATCGCATCTTGCACTTCTCGGCCTTTAAGTGAGGGATGCCATTTTGTCTCCTTGGCATGACAAATTTCAGAATATAAGCACTTTGTTATCCATTCATTGACTCCTCCATAGGCTCGAATGGATAAATTCTCGTGTCACCAACCAAGCACAGTGCTGAAATGGTTAGAATAGGGTCCAATGCGCTCCAACTCTAAAATCGCTTCACTTTTGACATCTCACTTGTGCACACTTCGTCAACCTTGGCATCATTAATATTAAAAATTTTGTCGAATAGTTGGAATTCTTCTTTCTGCTTCACAAGCTGGCCAGTATCCACAATAACTGATTGTAGGGCGTCAGACACCTCAACCTTTTTATTCAACTGAGCCTGCAAGTCATGGATATCTGAGCCAAATTGGTCTAACTCGTGCTTGAGCTCAGTTCTTCCTTCTATCATCTGTTATATTTGAAAGAACATCACGAAGAAACTCATGAGATTTCATCAGTTGAGCTTGTTCCTCTAGCTAATATTGGCTCACTATATCTGCTTCTTCAAAGTTATCTTCTTATGGGAACTCGCTCTCTTCGTCGAGTTGAGGTTCTTCTTGAAAATTGGCCATTAATTCGTCCATTCTAGCCTGCAGTCCTTGATCGCTAAGGCGCTAAGAACTTGTTGCTCGGCTACTTGCCTCATCATGTCCTGTTGCTCGGCTACTACTTGCCTCATCATGTCCATAATACGCGCAACGCATTCTATATCCTCCACTTTCTTGCTCCTATCAAACTCATAAATATCATTAGAAATATTATAATAAGAGCTCTGAGAGGGATAATAAGAATTAGGACAACCATCCCAATGGTCACCTTGACAACCACACACATTACAAAGATTCCCCTCATAAGATGGAGATTCACAATTTTGCCACACGTGTGGTCCTCCATAATATGGACAAGGATCACCATAATAAGAGTAACCAATATTCGACCAATTGTCATTCCAAGATGCCATGTCAACAAAGATAATAAAATATTAAACTAAGATAAAAATAAAAAACTTGAATAGACAAAAAGTAAACATCTAATCTCGTAGAATAGTTAATTACTAGGTCCCCGACAACGGCGCCAAAAACTTGTTGCTCGCAAACGCACACGCAAGTATACGTGATCAACAAGTAATATATGATTGTTAGTCCAGATATCGTACCCACAGGGACTTGTGATTAACTATCAACTAAATTAAACCAAACAATTAATCTATTCAAGCGAATCCTAAAGTATGAATATTTAACTAAAATTAATCTAAAGTAACAAATTAAGAGATTAAAGAAAACGACGACAAACTTAAAGACGAATTCAATGGGAGAAAATATTCTAGAGCTATGGGTAATTAGCTAACAATCCCGTTGAGTTTTTCTACCTAAATTGTCTAATTAATTTATCTAGTTTACTGATTGACGGGGTTAATATTGCTCGTAGCCTTCTCCCGAAGTACAACTCACCTATTCAAGCTAACCTAACGCCTATATTCCTATGGAATTAGGACTAACAAGAAAACATTTATAATTCCCATATAATAACCAAGCAACGCGATTAGGTATATTCCTATCCTAACCGCAAATCCATTCCCGATACTTAAGTTCAAGATCTTGCTCTACTCAATCTTATATGCAATCTAGAATTACCTCTCCCGAGTTCAATCCTAGATTCATAGATAGTATTCAATTGGTGATCATGCAATCAAATAATTAAGCACAAGATTGAATAAATAAACCAACATGATAAAAATAATAAGAACAATTCAAGCTTCAAACTACAACGTTCATGTAGCACCCACAACTCTAGAACTAATAAACTATGAAACTAAAAGAAGAGAAGAGAAGAGAATAAAAACTAGTTAGAAGCCTCCTCCAAGCGTGGTGTGTTGTCCTTAGGTCTAAAGTATGTCAAAAGTCCTCAAAATAAAGTTTTTACATGTATTTATACCATGTAAGGTTGGGCCAAGACGAAATCTCCTTTTCCTAGCCGAAATAGGAAAACTTGCAAACTTATTGCTTTTCATGGGTCGCACTGTGCGTCGCACTAATGCTTTTTCCTGCCAAACATAAAAAAATCCAGTCTCTGAACTTTGGAAATTTTTGATAAAAATTTGCACTAATGCGTCACACAGTGCCTCACACTAGTGCATTTCTTCAGCAGTTGCTTCTTCCTTAAATTTTGACGTCCAGAATTGATCCTCGACTCCCGAATGAGATCCCGGCTTAATCCCTTCGGATTTTACTTAGAATTCAAAGATTCAAATAGCTCGAATTAGTACCACAACATCTACATACTCGGAATCACTCCTACAAGGCATAAAACACACAATAAGTGCAAAACACTAGCGATTAAAGCCAAACACAATAAAAGTACAGTAAATTAGAGTGTGATAAGCGACTAAAATACGTAATTATAGCCTACCATCAATCCGTCTCTGGACGAGGGCACTGATAATGCTTCAGATATCATGATCTGTGGGGTGAGAGAAGTAGAATGAAATGTATGTGCGAATTTTGTGTGCATTCTGAGAAAATATACTAGTAGTTGTGTTGATTCTAAAATAAATCTCCAAAAAGTATCACACCGTTTGTAATGGCTCGTCCCTATTGTCTTTGAATGAACTGAAACCCATTCGGCTAGCAGCAATAGCCGGGAGGATATACATTTTGAGAAGGGAAAAGGGTCAAATATACCCCTCTATTTTGATATATTATTCACATTTACCCTCCATTATACTATCGGGTTAAATATACCCTCACCATTAGCAAAGTTTTCAAATTTACCCTCTAACCTAACGGAAAGCCCCAAATCCCTTCTATTTACTGTAATTCTTTCTCACAAATCAGTCATCTCTTCTGTGTGATCCACCAGAGAAGAAAAAAGGTCCATATTATAGAAATGGGAGTGTAGAGTTACAATATATTATTCCCCTTGTCTTTGGTTATGCTCAAACCATAAATGAAAGGCAGAATACACAGTTTATGTGTATGTCTCCAACGGAATGAGGATGAGTGAAATACCGTAGATAATTTGGAAGATATTTATTTGATTCTTTAGGTGGTCGAAATGCATTCGCCTATGAAGTTGTTACTAATATTTACTATTTTTTAAGGACTACATGCATAACAAGGCCGTTGGTATCCATGTAAATGCACTCCCTTTCGGATCTGGATTTAGCATGTCATTTGACGCAAATTTCGCTTGCGTATGCACTTCTGCATGAAATTTGTGACATTTGATTCTTTAGTATTGTCTGAGAAATCCTAAAATAAATAATTTGTTTAAATTTATGTCCAGCTTCAGAACATCCTTTCAAAGGATATTTACTGGTATTCTCATGCCTGGAGGTGGCGAGTTTGTTAAAGTCCCCTTCTCTAAAAAATCAAGTGGAACAAGAAATCAACTTGTCGAGGATATTTTCTTCTCTGGTAGAATACACGTAGGGATAAGTAATTTCTGAGAAAAAATTGTAGTAACTAGAAGGAGTTTGGGAATTTGGGGCTTTCCGTTAGATTAGAGGGTAAATTTGAAAACTTTGCTAACGATGAGTGTAGATTTGACCCGATAGTATAACAGAGGGTAAATGTGAATAATATATCAAAGTAGAGGGATATATTTGACCCTTTTCCCTTTTGAGAAATACGTTACTCCTTCTGTCCTAATTTATATGATATTTTTTATTTTTTGAAATTTAATTTTTTTATTTTTGAATGTATATTTGAATATAGAATCTTTTAACTTTTTCAAATATAATTTATATATTTAAAAATTATATAAAAAGTATTATAAGTCATTATATTTAATAGTTTAAAATATTTAAAAGACATGAAAAACTTATGATCAAAGAATAATTCGTTTGATAGTGAAATCATTTTCAGGTATGCATTATTTGACACAATTGAGAGTTAAGACAAGTGTGCATAAGTAATAACCGAATAAGATCACATGCCTTTTAAAGATTTATGCCTATAAATAATTTTGGTAATATGACAAGCAAGAACAGAAAGATAATTTCAAAGAAGATATTTTCTCGAAAAATATTCTACCCACGAAAATAAAATTTTTGGAAGTATATATAAAAAAAAGTCACGTGCGAATCACGTGGAGTCCTGATCCTAACGAACGGATATTCGTATCATGTGAAATCTCACAAAAACAGAACCACAGACCTCACTCTCACTAACATTTTGTCTGTAAAAAAAATTAATTAAAATCAGGACTCTCTCTCTCTCTTACACATCGCCGTTATTCACTCTTTCTCTCTCTACTATTTCAATGGCTGGTGTGTTGGAAACCATCGCAGTTCCACGCGCCTCCGTTTTCTCATCGGCGCGTTTGGCTCCTATAGCGGATTCTTCTTCGTCCTCCGGCCGTCGCTCCTCCGTTAATTTTTCTCAGTTCAGAGGACTTAAGTTCCAGCCGGTCCGGTCGCCGGTCTCCCTCAGCTCACAGTCAAAATCCGTTCGCCGTAGTGGACGAGTCGTCTGTGAGGCTCAGGAAACAGCTGTTCAAGGTGTTTCTACTCTTCTTTCCCGTCAAATTCACTACTTAATGATGGATAATTGTTTTTAGTTGTGATTCTTTTGGCCTAGAACAACGTATCTTGTTTCTTCTGTGATATTCCTATTCGGAGGCGGCTCAGTAAAATTGATGCCGGAATCTATTCAATAAAATTTGTATATATTGTTATTGCTTAAATTTTCAGTGGAATGTTATTCGGGATTTCGGGTCATTTTGCACACACCTGGACCATTCACTGGCTGTTCGAGTAACTCTACTTACTAAGAACTTGAGTAATGTATTAAGAAATATTCAAGGTTATAACATAATACTATAATAAAATTTTGAATCTTTCTGTGTAAACTAGTTCCAAGCCATTTAAAACTGCATTATTGAAGGGTAAATCTGTCGTTTTAGGAACAGAAGTTGAGGCAAGCTAGCAATATTTTTGTTCCAACACATCTGTTCCATATTTAAGTGATGTACGCATCTCGTTCTAACTAGACTAAGGGCTTCCGCTGTACTGCTAATCAGATATCGTTGGAATTCCTTACATTTCTTTTCTAAAGATAAATTTATTTGGTAATATGTATCTGAATTAATTTGGCTTTTCTTCTGGTTTACTTGCGCACTTTCTGGAGGTTGGTTACTTGGTTTTGCTATTTAGTTGTGTCATGACGAGCAACTTTGTCTTCTTCACTTCTCCCCCTCCCCACCTATACAGTCCCTGCCCAAGATCTTTTTCCCCGTCTTCCAGAACCAACCTCGCAGCTGCAACTTAGATTCTTAGCGTTGAACCCATTATATTTTCAACAATATGGAATCTACTATTTGTTGCATTTTTTGTAGGTTTTTACACATAAATTTATGCTCCACTATTACTGGGTTGAGATGAACCCGATGTCGCCACTATCCACCTCTGCCAAGTTGAATGTCAAAGATAGGGGTGTTTACGGTTCGGTTTGGTCGGTTTTTGATTAAAACCAAAACCAAACCAATTTAATCGGTTTTAAAATTTTAAAACCAAAACCAAACCAAATTAAATACAAACCATCGATTTGATTGTTGTTGGTTTGGTTCGGTTTGGTTCGGTTTTTCGGTTCTTAGTAAGCTAATGATAAGTCGATAATATTAAAACAACGCTAGACAACAATTTGAAAATAATTGGCCAAATTTATGCTTTTTATATATTTCTTTGAGAACTGAAAGTTTATTTACATGTTTATATGAAAAGAATGAACAAAAAACAAACTAAAAGTTTGCTTTCTCAAGCTTTAGCCATTGTTGTCTTGCAATTTGAATGTGCTTTCTTTACTCTTGTGGTGATTTTTTTTTTAACTCTTCTTTTAGGCAAAAGTATGTGCAAGAAAATTGGTCGAATCCTATTGTTTTGGGCTTAGGCAATCTTATAAGATATACCAGGATAAACCAAAATTCAAAATAACAATTAAAATTATTAACAAAAAGATATTATATTGTATATAAATAATTATTAAATTTTATATATAATTAATCGGTTTGGTTCGGTTTATTTTTCGGTTTTTTAAAATAGAACCAAAACCAAACCAAATATTATCGGTTTTTAAAATTTAAAACCAAAACCAATCCAAATCAAAAAAAATATCAGTTTACTTAATCGGTTTGGTTCGGTTTTCGGTTTGGATCGGTTTTCCGTCAAACCGTGAACACCCCTAGTCAAAGACATCTAAGGGGCTATATGTAATATTTTTAGTGGAAATTTGCTACTTGCTAACCTTCTTAGAATTCATTTATACTCATTAGCTTGGTGACTCATGATGAGGTAAGCTTTGGAACAACAAGAAGCTTGTACTGTCTCAAGCTTCTGTATCAACTTTCAGACACCTATGAGTACTTTGCCTATTGAGTAAAAGCATCTATGCAATATGTTATGTAAGTTACTTTAACCTTGTGTTCAGATGTCGGAAATCTGTGCGGTTGACTTTGCGCTGGCTTCGTTCTTCAGTAAAGTGGGAAGCATTACTTATGCTTTTGTGCGACTATAGGCATTGCACTAGTACATAGAATAATCCTTAGTTGAATGAATGAGACCAGATGTTGTAAATTTTCTCTTTGGCCTAACTTAATAGGATGTTAAGATATTCAATGCATCAGCTATCTCCGGTAGTAAATTTCGTATTGTTTCTCAGTTTTAGGTTGCTCTGATAAGCATTGCTTCTGCCACACTCCCATCATTTATCAGTTTTTTTTCTTGTCTAACATGGTTCATGGAAAATGCAGTGCCTGCCGTTACCGACAAAACATGGAAATCACTTGTAATTGAGTCCGATTTACCTGTCTTGGTCGAATTTTGGGCTCCATGGTGTGGTCCATGCCGAATGATTCATCCCGTCATTGGCGAGCTATCACAGGAATACGCTGGCAAGTTTAAATTCTTCCAGCTGAATACAGATGAAAGCCCCTCAACTGCAAGCGAATATGGGATCCGAAGTATTCCAACTGTCATGATTTTCAAGGACGGAGAGAAGAAAGATGCAGTCATTGGCGCAGTTCCCAAAACGACATTGACCACCAGCATAGAGAAGTTCTTGTAAAATGGTGCAGTGCAAATATAGATTATGAGAAGTTAGCTGTTTCTCTTCTTTATATATTCTCTCTTTGCCTTCACAACACAGGTAGAATATTCTGAATAAACCTGAAATGCTTCTGTATAGATTGCGGATATACATTCCTCTCCTCTTACTTTTGCATTACATTAGTAACCGAATGTTACTCGTCAAAAAGAAAATGTTAGTAATTGAATTTCTTTCACGTCTGAATTTCACTGGTATTCTGTGCTACATTTTCCTTTAGAAGGATCCTTGTGTTGTTATTGCAGAACATGGCATCAGGTATTCTACATGTAATTTTGGGGGTCTGTTGTATCTAATCAATGGCCGTTGTTGAAATTGCTTGTTTCTATTGTTTCTTTTCATCTTTCTTGAACTGAGGGTTTATCGGAAACAACTTCTCTACCTTCCTAGGATAGGGTTAAGGTCGCGTACATACTACCCCAGAGGCGGATGTAGTCATATTGCAACAGGTTCAATTGAACCCATAACTTTCAAAACTGAGTACAAATTTATGTACAAAAATTCACTGAAATTGTAATAAATAGTGGATATGAACCCATAACTTTAAGTATATAATAAATTCAATACTAAAAACCTTAAAGGTTGAACCCATAGAGTTTAAACCGTGGATCCGCTTTTGTACTACCCTCCCCGGACTTTTTTGTTGTTGTTGTTGTTGTTGCAGTAGTATCTAATCATTGCAGAGTTTTATGCAAAGGAAAAATGTATGATTTAAATTTGATGGGTTCAACCTTGAAGGTTTTTAACAGAACTCATTCTACTTTTGAAATTATGTTTAAATTTAATATTTGTTAAATTTTTAGTGATCATCAAATATATTTAAATTGTGTCGAAAGTATTTTGGTTTTATGCATAGTGCATAAATAGAAACAACAGAGTAGAGCACCAAATTCCACTTATGCTATTTTCACCATCATAATTAACATTGCATCTAGGTGCTTTTCGAATAGCGACCTACTGTTTGGCCGCTAGATCGAAAAGCGACCTACTGTTAGGCCGCCGGATCGAAAAGCAACCTACAGTTAGGCTTCTTTTCCCGCAGTGGGAGACGGTGACGCGAGAGTATAATAAAGACTTATTTTTGGTCTTAATTCTGATAGTTGATTTATCAATTTTTTTTACATAACTAGAAACTAGATGAAAAGTAGTACTAAAAATTACATACAACTACTTACCATTAAAACATTGTTACAATAACAACAACAACTCAGTATATTTTACAAGTGGGGTTTGGGCGGGTAGTGTGTACACACACTTTATTCTTACCCTTGTTTGACCAAAAAGTGTTAAACCTTTTGTTAAACCAATTAATGATGGAATAAAGGATAAATCTTAACCAACTCTAGACTAAACATTAAAGTACATTGAATAAGAGAATAAGATATAATCAAGCTCATGAACTTTCGATATTTATAGAAGATACCAAATATAAGTAATATGCTTACATACATCACGTATTGTCCCGCAACACATGAAAATAAAGGAGGAATAGAGGGAAAGTCATTGATAATTGCAAGATCTATCTTGTTTGCCTCAAGAGAAATGATTACGAAGACTTGTCGCCCTGATCTGTAATTCTTCGTGTTTTTCTCTTATAGCACTCTCTGGTTCTTCCGCCCCCCTCTCCTCTCGGAAGAGGATCCCCTTTTCTTGTTCTCTCCCTCCTATTTATATAGCAATTATATCCTTTTATCCAATGGTTCTTAGCCAGAGGGTCTTAGTTTGTTCATTGTGCATTGTGCCGCCCCCCCCTTAAATGTCATGACATATGCCTTGCCACACGATCTTTTAGATAGTTCGATCTCGGCAGTGGCCGAGATAATCGTTGTTATGACGTCTTATGAATACGACCACAACTCAGCGACTCCTCGCCATTCCTTTTAGGCTGAACCACGTGTTGTCAGATTTTGACCCATACAACCCTATGGGATAGAGAGGATGTTTTCGATAGACCGTTATGGTCCTGCCCTTCCCCGGATCCCACGCATAGTGGGAGCTTAGTGCATCGGATTGCCATATATTTCTATAATTAAAGATTTTATTTCGTTGAAAGATCTTAAAATATATTCTTTTGGGCAAAAGTTCTTCATCTTGTATAAAGTCTAAGATTTGAAGAATACGTATTAAAGTGTAAGTTTTTCATTCTCCGTTGCACGAAAACGATTGAAAATCTATTTAGATGAAATTCGTTTAGCTTTCTTTAATTTTTAATTAGTAAAATATACCTTCTGAAAATTTTAATTTTTATATTTTATAATAATAAAAAATTATTTTTTGGATAATTTGTATATAATAGTTAAATGATATTTACACGTCAAATGTTACTTCTCTAAAAAATTATTTTGATAAAAGTGTATTCTCCATAAAAAGGACCAGATCCAAGCGCGTGTAGCATAAGGCCACGTGTAACTCCAAGAGACAAAACCGCCACACGCGCCTCCCTCTTCACGTGTCAACCCATATTTCTCTCCCATTTGCGGTCGAGAAAAACATTTTACTGTTTTTAAATAATAAATACTACCCAAATAATTCACACCTCATTCATTGCAACATTTGCTCTCCATTTCTTCCTTCATAACTTCATTTCTCCTCCAAAATCACTTCCAACGACACCTTTTTTTTGAGATTCGCCGTTGATAATCTCCTCCTCCACGCGATTCAGTCTCGGTTCATACTCTCCGTTATCCCACGCGCCGGTACATTATTCGCATTGTATTCTGTTAATGTTCTGTTTTGTTTCGTGGTTTCCTTAATTTTATTTTCTGTTAATCTTTTGCTTCATACACACGCAAAGCCAGAATTTCAACGTCATGTGTTTTAGATTTTAGAACGACGATTTTAAGTGCTAATAACTGGATTCTAAATTTATTATTTGTTTATATTTAATGAATTTTTTAACACAAACAATGTGTTTGAGCAAATGCTACTTGGTTCAAACGAACCCGTATTCGGGCTTTTAGCTCCGTCCCGGGCTTCATAGATAGAATAGAGTATAATGCAGATAAAGTCGAAACTTGTATATATAATGTGTAGGATAAATTTGGCAATTAGAAAATTCCTTTCGTTGTATAAGAATGTCTAATTTGGCTTAGAAGATAAATTATTTAGTATTGAAAAGAAATGGATCCAAATAAAGAAAAATGAATATAGAGGATTTATAGTTGAACTCTTGGCTTCGTGATTTGCGTGGTGATTGATCTCGTTTGATGTGTATTTTCAAAAGATCATATTTAGGCTTTATGTTCAATGGTTAAGGTTAAAGCATGCCTAATTGATTAGAGCAAAGGACAGGACAACTTGGTGCACAAAGCATCCTGCGTTTATGCGGGGTCTGGGGAAGGGCCACACCCCAAGGGCCACACTCCACGGCTCGAACTAATTGATTAGAGCAATTGTCAATAATGTTAATGCTTTATAAAATAGGTTGCTTTTCTTTTCATTTGTCGCAAGACAATGTTTCTCGCATAAGAATCCCCTCCAAGGAATGGAAAATGTGGATAAAGGGCATACGTGAACCAAAAAAGTGGATGGAGGGATATTTTTAGCCCAATAGGTGGATGAAGGGTATTTTTAAACCTTTTCCAATAGTTTAGAGGCATTTGGACCCTTTTCGGAAGAAAAAATTTAACCTCAAAAGAACGAACATGTGATAATGAATCCAAAGTAATCAAATGTTGCGTAATAGCTTACAAAATTCTGAAATTTTTGAAGTTTGGTTGTTGACATCCCATTTTTAGTGGGAAAATGTGCGGTGCATTTAATTTTATTGAAGTCTCATTATTCTCTATTTGTTGCCATTGGCTCCTTTTCATTCATGAAGATCTTAATCGTGGCTCTCTCATTGTCATTTGCACTTACTTTTTCGTGCTTTTGTTTTAGCATGCATTCAGAAAATTTTGCTTAAAATTCTGCTTTGCTGCTAATCTTGTTTCGTGGTGTACTGAGCATACATATTTAGATTATTTGGATTGCCTCTGTGTGTGCAACTTACTGAAATTAATGATTTAAAGCTTCCTGTCAGATTGCGGTACTTCAAAAAATGTAACATGTTGGTTTCATTCTTGTAGCATAATAGTAAATCTCCACTCATAAATTTTATGTCCTTGGGCATTGTTGGAAATAGTTAAATGAAAACAGAATTGAGACTCAGGAGTACAGGGTGGGGGCTATCATTTAAGTATTGAGTGCGAGCGAGAAATGCACGGACATTCAAACACATTTCAAAGGAACTTAAAGAAAAAGTAATGAATCCAAGTGGAGCATAGTCTAATGACTAATCTAGTGCTGATCTGATTTGAATTTCTTTCTTGGGGAGCAAATGCCAGTATTTTGCGATTATAAATACTAGTAGATACTAGGAGGTCACGGGTTCGATCAGTAGAAACAGCCTCTTGCAGGAATGTAGGGTAAGGTTGCGTAGAATAGACCCTTGTAGTCCGGCCCTTCCCAGGACCCCGCGCATAGCGGGAGCTTAGTGCACCGTGCTGCCCTTTTTACTAACTTAATTTTGTATTAATCTGGTTCGAGGAGGACAGGCAAAAAGAAATGTAGCTATGCTGGTAAAGATATATGTTTTCTTTATATGGTGCCGTTCCTAGTTATGGAAGTATAGCCCTATGTTACATAGACTAAATTATAGCGCATGTATCGATATAGTTGTGTAAGTATCCACTGTATGTGACGGTAAATGCGAAACTTCATGTAACATAGACATAGCCGTAGCTCCTGTCGTCATGTATTCTCAGATGGGTGAAAACCAGCTCTTTATTTTCATGTGGATTTCGTAGATGATTTTCGAAGGAATATCGTCAGCTGATTGATATATTTGTGAGTTTATGTCGTTTTAACAGATTCTATGGATCTAGAACAATCTTTTGGTGAACCTTTAATCAGTTTTGGATCTGATGAAGACGTTTCCCTTAAAACGAGGAACTCAGTTCCGGTTCCAATGGTAAACTCTGGAAATATGATGGGATGTTTCGATTGCAACATTTGTCTCGATTCAGCTCATGATCCTGTAGTCACCCTCTGCGGTCACCTCTACTGCTGGCCTTGCATTTACAAGTGGCTCCAAGTTGAGAACTCTAACCCCGGATCAGAAGAGACACCTAAATGTCCGGTCTGCAAAGCTCACATCTCAAACTCCTCACTGGTACCTCTCTATGGCCGCGGGACATCATCAGCAGAACACCGATCCACTGAGTCTCAAGTTGATGTGGCCATACCTCGCCGTCCTCCAGCCATTTGGACAACCACACAAGTCAATACATCATCGCCAACTTCTCACGTTCATCAACAACTTCATCACACTTCTT